GTGGGTTGGAAAGGGGGAACCGATTACAAGGATCTATATGTGACCTCCCCTCCCTGGGGGACGGACAACAGAAAAGGGGGTAAAGGGAGACGTCGGACAGGGCAAGATATGACAAAATAATAATTTATAAATTATCAAGGGATCATGAGGGAGTGGGGAGGAAGGGGGGAAATGAGGACCTGATGCCAGGGGCTTACGTGGAGAGCAAATGTTTGAGAATGATGAGGGCAATGAATGTACAGATGTGCTTTACACAATTGCTGTGTGTATGGATTGTGATAAGAGTTGTATGAGCCCCTATTAAAAAGATTTAAAAAAACACACAAACATCATCACCTCAGATATGTGACAGTCACACTTACATGGTAATTATAATTTCTCATGCCACCTGGCATCAGGACCTTGACTTGGAGGACAATGGGGATGAGGGGACAGAGAAGGGGAAGAGGAACCTGTGAGAACAAAATAGAATCCACTAATGTGCAACAAAAACACACTACCAGCTTCGTTTGCAAGAGTTAGCGCCCACCCCACTTGGGGAACGTCTCCGCCACAAAGCAAGCAGGAGGGTTCTAAGTGACAAGGGGTGACAAGGGGTGCTGAAAGGGGAACGATCATTTGCTGAGCTTCTGCTAAGTGCCAGGCACTTCACGAGTGTGTACGTGTGCTCACTTCATCACAGCTGCCTGTTCGACAGATGAGAAAAGAATGTTTAGAGAAAAAAGCCAGGTTGCCAGCTGGTCTGCATTAGCACTAGGATTCCATCCTGGGTCTCCAGAAAGACCAAGTTCTTTCTACTCCACCTCCAAGACCCTTTCAAGACTGCCTTAGGCAAAACCCATGCAGAGCAGCTCCAAGAAGGGACACTTCGGTACAAGGCACCATGAGCTGTATCTTCAACGTGCACAGCCCTTCCCTGCCCACCCTGGCCAACGGCTCCTCACCGGGGCTCCCGGTTCTTCCGCACAAGGCTGACAAACGTGTCGATCTCCGCTGCAGTGATGTGTTTTTCCAGGAGTTTGCGGTTGTTGTGCAGCAGGGCGGTAATGGTGTCTTCTGCCAACACATCATAGCCAATCTGCTTCTGCATGAAGCCAAACTGCTTGGCTATGTACTCCTTGAAGGACGAGAAGGCCAGGTCAGCAGGCAGGGCGGAAGACAAGGCAGGCTAATTTTAACATGGGAAACACTCCTGGACAAGAGCGTCCAGCCGTCTGGGAAACCAGAGGGAAGCATCTTCCCACAATACTGGCCAGCAGCTACACACGTCCACACCCTTGATTTTAACACACCTGCCCACAAACGCCAGAAAGCAAGGTACCGCAGATCCTTTACATGTGGGAATTTTAATTAAGGACACGGGCTCCATTTAATCCATTGGCTTAGTTTTTCTAAAAGGTCAGAAACTTTTCCCGCTTGAAATTTATTACTAATTCAAAAGGACTTAACTGTGCCCCACTGCTCTGGGCTGTTGGATCAACACCAATTAAACCCACTTGGAAATTCACCATGTTATTCCATTTCTCTATTTTCTTTTAAAAATGTGTGGTCAAAAGACATTTTTAAAAGCAATAGGTAGTGGAAGAAAGTGAGGAATGCTTGCGCTAACTAATCACATCCATGGGAGCACACACTTGTGGCTTTTCCTCTTTTTGGGAATCAGATATCAGAGTTCATGGGAGTATTTATGAACTCAAGGCAGACTCCTACTGTTTCTTTTCTCCTCCTTCCTTCCTTCCTTTCTCCCTCTTTCCCTCCCTCAAGAGCTTGTTTCTATTCAAAGGTATTTCCCTACCCAAGAAAGAGCCTTAGTTTACTCAACGTTCAAATGGCTCTTCGAACATGCTTTATTTCATTATTTCCCAAATCCCAAAATTACTCTGGAGTAACACGCTGAACTTGGACCACACTTTAGTCTATACTAAGTAGGGGTACACATTTAGGGATTAATCAACCTCCAGGGATAAAGTGCTGTCAACTGATGGAGGGTCTATAAAGATCAGAGTTAAGATGACCAATTCAGCAGGAGTAAGAGAGCTGGGCTTAGCTGCCACGTGGACCAGCAGGATGCCCTGGTACACAGTCTAGGTACTGTGCAGCCTCATCGGGGGAGAGATGAGAGGGCTGAACAAACTCTGTTCAGGACTGTGTGACTGGCATTAATTTGCTGCAACCACAGCCCAGAAAGGCAACCAATCCAGCTAATAAAATTTAGACCCAATAACACCTCACAGAAGGAGTCTAGTTTAAGCACGCTTAGTTGCTAACCAAGAGGTAAGTGGTTTGAAACCAGCAGCTGCTCTGTGGGAGAAAGATGTGACTGTTGGCTTTTGTCAAGATTTGCAGCTTTAGAAACCCCATGAGGCAGTGTTACTCTGTCCTAAAGCGTCACTATAAAGTTGTGATGCATTTGAATCAACTTGATGGCAACGGTTTTGTTGCAGTTTTGCTGTTATTAGTATTATGTGTATAACACACTACATAAATAATAACGAAGACAGAGGTTTAGAAACACTTGTTATAAATGTATTAGCAACCACAAAAAGAGAGGACATAATTAATAAGCTATACTATCAGTTTTCTTGTCCGGAGCAAAAGAGAAAAGACCAAAGACAGAGTAGAAACCAGGTTTCAGGACTAGTAGTCTACTTGAACCACTAGGCAAGGTCTCCTCTGAAGTCAAAAAGAGCTACCTGGTGCCTGAGACCCGCCAACAGGTGTTCTGAGCAGGGCATCAGTAACAATTCTAATCTAAAGGGTAAAAAATGTAGAACAGAACCAAAATTCTCTAAAAGTCCAGGCTTCCTGGACTAATTAAGATTAGATAATGCTCAAGATGACCACAGCAAGATGCTCCGTATCTTTTAGCTAGGTAACAGATTGGCTCATAAAATAACACTACCAGCGAGAGCTGTGTAACTGGAAACAAACTATCTGCACGAGGACAAATGGTCAAGTTATTCTAAAGCAAAGATGAAGGGAGACCAGATTACTGGAAACAAACCGTCCGGAATGAATGAGATGCTGACACACTGAGAAAACTGTAATTCATATCACTCAACAATCAATGCAGTACTTCTTAAACGGGACGCCGACTGGCTATCGTAACTTTCCTTGAAAATGCACACATGACAGAACGTGATTAATGCACGGGGTGTCAGGTACTGCCCGGGACAGTCTTGAGCAGGGCAGTGGTGTGCATTTTTCACAGAAGCAATAGTAACTAAAGAAAGGTGGCGCATGGAAAGGCGGCTGCAGATGAGGAGTCTGTGAGCGCCCTTCTTCAGGACTCGATTGCACAGGTCCTACCCGTGGTGAAAGCACTGTGCTTCCTCTCTGAGAACAAACCCAAGACGGAACCACATCCCTCAGTGGATCTATGTGGGGCATGGACATTTCATGAGGAAGGTACATGAACTTTAGGGAGCAAACCACAATCACTGCCAGTTCATCCTTGATCCTGACCTGGTTCTTCCTGTAGTCTTGCTGAGAGTGTCTCAGGACCCTGTAACACAGACGGCAGATGTGTCGGAAAGGGGCGTGTCGCTGGTCCCCAAGCTCTTCCAGCCGGAGCATGGGGCCGTCCCCACAGTCCGTGAATGGAGCCTGCAGCAACTTGAAGATCTGTTGGTGGAAAAAGGGGAGAGAGAGCCACCATCACCCGTGTTTTAAAGGCTCTGTCCCTGTCGGGCCAACCTCTCCCCGCGTGACACAGTGCTCGATCTTGAAAGACCTAACTTGCCAATAACCTGAAACTGCATTCGATCATCAGAGACTGCATTTGATCACTCACTGGATTCAGCATGCTGGAACCCAGCTGGTCCTTGGACCATGGCCAGACCAGTGTTCAGAGCAGTGATGAAGGGAAGCAGCAGATTCCAGGCTGAAATCACACAGCTCCTTTACTCCCTGGCTGCAGAGATCATGGTCACCAGGAACATGGAGACAATCATACAGCATGCACACAGGCAAGTTGAGTGTCAGTAGAGGGCTTGACACAAGTGCTCAGAGAAGGCTCCAGTCATCGGACCACATTATTTTGGCTCCTTAAGGAATGGCTATTGTGGAAATGAACTTGGCCATTAGCCCAGCAGTCCAATTTGGGAGTCAGTTCATGGAGTAGGTAAGCATAAATTATTATTAGATAGAAATCACTATTGACACATGATTAATGGGGTGTTCATAAATTTTACCCAGCATGAATCAGGAGCTTTTCATTCTCCAGTTGTTGTAGAGAGTTCCTAACTATTTCTTTCCCCTTTCGGCCTTGGGTGTAGTCACCAACAACTTCGGAGAACTATGTGACATGGATTTCTATGCTTTTAAATTACCCTGAACTTATCATTTGCCTTCCTCTACTTTATCTTTACACATTTATTTACATTTCAACCAAATTCTACCATCTATGCATTTTCTGTAAAACTCGGCTCCTTTATGGGTTGGTTTTGGGGTGATTTTAGGAGTACTGACAGAAACCTATGAAGACCTGGTGGCACTGTCAGGTAAGCTTTGGACGCTGGAACCACAAGGTAGATGTTCAAGCCTACCAGCCACTCTGTAGGAGAAAGACGAAATTGCCTGCTCCTATAAAGATGTATAGCCTCCAAGAACACTATATAGCAGCAGTTCTCAACCTGTGGGTCGTGACCCCTTCGGGGGTCGAATGACCCTTTCACGGGGCCGTCCAGTTCATAACAGTAGCAAACTTACAGTTTTAAAGTAGCAATGAAAATAGTTTTATGGTTGCGGGGCACACCACAGCATGAGGAACTGCATTAAATGGTTGTGGCACTAGGAAGGTTGAGAACCACTGCTATATAGGTAGTTAAGAGGTGGGATCAGTTAGCTGGCAATAGGTTTTGTTGTTCTTGGTAATAAAAACCCATATAAACAAAACCAAAGCCCAGAGCACGGCCATCACGTCAGTTCTGACTCATGGTGACCGTATAGGACAGAGTAGAGCTGGCCCTGCGAGTAGCTCTCTTTCTTTGTGTGTCATGGCTTTTGCTTTTCTCCAGCAGAATAGCTGGAGGGTTCATGCTAGTGACTGGAGCAGCCCCGTGCACAGCCCACATGCCATCTGGGGTCCTAAGAACCTCCAGAGGTTCTCTGGCCTTCTTAGTTTATGTAATGCCCCAAATCTCCCAGACATAGGAACATTAAAACACCCCATTTAATTAGATATTTTTGAAAAAGATTGTCTTCAATTGACATCTTCTTGGAGTTCCTGACAGGTCAACTCCCGTGTAGCAGACAATAGGTGTGTCAGGGATCCTTTGAACACGTCTGCCAATGGGAATCTTTCATTCTCTTTCTACAAGGGGAGTCCTATGGATTCCATGTAGAGCCAGCAATCTGAGCTGTTACAGCTCACCAACCTGCTTGAGGATATTCTGCTCTCTCATCAGTTTTTGCCGCTCTCTGTTGGGCTTGGAGAAGACCACTTCCAGCACGTCTTGACCAGAGTTGGTTCCACCAGTGACAAAGTAGACCAAGTCCTCCAGCAGCTTGGTTACAGACCTTGGGTGGGAAACAGTTGTTAGAGAGGAGAAGTGCCCAACGCCCAGCAGGGTGAAAATTTCAATTTGAAGCCTTTAAATCTGATGGGCCAGCTAAACAGGGGTAGATGCATTCTTTCCATCTTCCTCAAAATGACCACAAGTACCAAAAACACACATACAGAAATACAAACACATTATTACCCATAAAAGGATGATTAGCTTTGTAGAAAAACAAGCTAATAAGCTCGACCCCTGTAAAGTAGTACCAGAGGAAGAGACAGCGACAGAGAGAATGAGCTGAATACTTACAACTTCAAGAACTTTCAAAGTATGAATGCAAGGGTATTTCTTGAAGACCACAAACTGAAGCCCCCCCCCCCCCCCCATAAACGCTGAGGCCCGCTACTCTCACATACAACTGTGCAGAGCTGGCTGTTTCTGCACGGGACGCTGAGGGTCAGAGTGGTGAGGGTGGCTGCGTCTGGGTCACCAGGCTCTCACCGTCTTTCATTCTGGGTGATCGTGCCCTTCTCCAACTTCCCAGCTATGGAGCCCAGCACCTTGCTGGCATCATTAGCAAAATCCAGGTCCCGGACCTCTGCAGGCGAAACTGGAACGATGGCAAACGCTTCCTTGTCCTCCTTCACAGGAGAGGTGCCTATCTGAAATGCACAGTGGTCTTGGTGGGAGGTTCAGACCTCAGTTAACAATCATAGGACAATGGACAATCCAAAGGCATCCAGTGTCATCATGCAGGTAAAATCACGCAGACCGAGAAAGGCTCTGAAGGGATGCACCCCAGACCGTGATTGGACCTGGAGGGTGGCATTGTGGGGAACAGAAGCAGCAAAGGGGACACTCCAACCCTTCACAGCTTGTCTACTTCTGAGATGTGCTACAAGGAGCATGCAAGACTCCTGTCACTGAAAATCTATACATCTACAGGAAAATCAAAATGGCTATTAGTGACTAAGTGGATGACATAAGAGTAGACACAATACCATCCTTCCATATTTCAATCTATTTAAAAATGTTTATAGTAGAAGGGGAAAAAATTCCAATCCTCTCTCCCCAACTACAGGCAGAAAGTTATATAAACGCATACTTCAGTTTTTAAAAACCAAATTCCAGTATGTGTGTAGTTGTGTGTTTGTTTTCTACGAACCTGGAATAGGTACTGAAGGAGAGGCAGGTTTTAGGGAGAGATAAAAAGGCTAAGAGAATGTTCAATAATGTATATTTTTAAATAGAAAAATAAGAAATAGTACATATTGGGGAAAACCAACGAGATATTTGGTGTACCTCAAAGCACACGTGAAACATTTCCTGAACCAAATCCATCCTGCAGACAGCATGAAATCCCGACAAGTAAGTACTCAACCTTCAGAGCAGAAGCTATGGGACACAATAGCCGTTCATTTCAAAAGGCCTGGGATCACTTTCCACAGGCCCTCGGGAGTGAGTTTTTCCATCATTCCCACACTTGGCTTTCACTGCATGCTTGCTGAAGCTACACAACCCCACATTCTCCATCTGCCCGGAGGGGTGGGGGTGGGGGGCGGGCTCTAGTGTGCATGAGAGCCCAGGGAGGCGGCCAGGGTGCTCACTTACTTTCAGCATCACGGGTTTTTCTTCCTCCTTGTCAATGGGGATGTTAGTGCTGTGAACCCAGGTATTGGTACAAAGGTGCCTCAGACGGACATAGGAGTTCCTGAAGGGTGATGGGAAACAAGCTTCAGGCAGGGATATTTACAAGTTTCTCTAGTGCCCCCAGCCTAGAAAATATTCTAGCGAAACAAATATATCCCACTGGTGTTCTGCTACTTATACTCCACAGTCTAAGTTAAGGAGCAAATGGTTTTGCTCCCAGTCACATTCTGGAATATTGATAATAGAAAGTCATTCAGAGTGACTTCAACGTTATGGATATGCGGCAGTTCTGAATGAGGAGACCTGGTGGCATAGTGGGCTACATGTTGCGCTACTAACCTGGGCAGCAGTTCGAAACCACCAGCTACTCCTAGGGAGAAAGATGTACTTTCATAAAGAGTCAGTCTTGGAAACCCACGGGGCAGTTCTACTCTGTTCCAGTCAGAATCGACTCAACAGCAGAGTTCAGTTCTGCTTTTGATGTTTCTACGTACAGACTCAGACCCTGTGAAAGAATATCTCAGCACGAAATGGAGCAGCAAGCAGTACTCACTGGCCACACAGTAGTACTCGTCATGAGAGCTCATTTAAAAGTTCATGTAAATCAGTAAGATAAAAATGAAGCTTCTAAAGGAATATATGGGTAACTATTTTAATTATCTGGTGTTGGAGAAAGCCTTTTGAAGCACATGACAAAATACAAAATCTCTACATTTAAAGATAAACAAAGAATAAAGCCTTTTGCACAGTTTAAAGGTTTAGCAAAAATCACACTGGATTAACAATACAGTGCACAGGGCTGAAGGAATAATAACCAGGAAAAGAATAATAAAAAGTTAGTGGAGTCCACACATACAGAGCTTACAAAATCAATTAGAAAAACATAAGTATCAGAATCGGAAAGGTCACCAACCTACCCTTTAATGAAGAAAAATAAATTACTAACAAACAGAAGCATACATTCAGTCTTCTCAGTAAAAGATCAATACATTGTTTCACAGTGTCATACAAACTGATAAAAAGCCCAGTGTCAACAAGAGCTTAGGAAACAAGTCCATCTGGATACTGTGGGTGAGACTATAACAAGTGAAACTCTGAAGGAGTCTGACACCTTGTTCAACATAAATAATGTTACCTGTCCTTCTATCTAGTAACACTATTTTTACATGTTTCCTTGAATGGTGACAGCAAATAGTCAAATCACAAAGATATTAAAATATTATTTACACTAAAGGGAAACTGAAATAATCTAATGTCCCAATAAAGGACTAAATTATAGGGAGTACAATAGAACATTACAGTTATTTTAAAATTATGACAATCTATATATATTCATTTGGAAATATATTATTCAGGAAGGGGGAAATCAGATTAAAAATAGCCTTCAATACTAAACTCAATGGCATCGAGTTGATTCCAACTCTGACCCTATTTATGATAAACCCATCTGTAATTATATAAACCACATTGTTAGCAGCAGTTCTCTCTAGATTGTCGAATTTTATGTGATTTCTTTTTACTTGCTTATTTGTTCTTCATGGGGTTTTAAAGAATATTTTTGTTGTTCTTTTTACAGTCGGCATGCATCTTCTTACAATGCTTTCTAATTTTGTATTTCTTTTAAAAACCAGTAGAAGTAATCATTCTTCAATTTAAAGCAATAAGCCTTTTCATGAGGCACCCTGAAGGTGCAAGTAGTGGATAACTAAAGAAAGGTTGGCAGTTCACGCTGACCAGGTGTGTCATGGGAGAAAGCTGCAGCTGTCTGCTTCTGCCAGGATGTGCTGCAGTGGAGTCCTTAGGGGCACTTTCACTCTGTCTCTGCAGGGGCACCTGGAATCAGAATTGACTCCAGAGCAATGGGTTTGATCTCTTTTGTTTGTTTTAACATCGCATGAATGAGATGAAATAGTTGCACCCCAGGCAGGTAATGAGAGATGCACATAAAAAAGCACTAAGTTGAGCGATGGTCAGGTTAAAAATTAGAACATTCAGAGGAAAAGATTAAGGCAGTGGTTCTCAACCTGTGGGTCCCAACCCCCTTTGCAAGGGGGGGGGTGTTTCAAACGACCCTTTCACAGAGGTTGCCCGATTCATAACAGTAGCAAAATGGCAGTTATGAAGTAGCAACGAAAATAATTTTATGGTCGGGGGTCACCACAACATGAGGAACTGTATTAAAGGGTCGCGGCATTAGGAAGGTTGAGAACCACTGGATTAAGGAGTTTCACAAAAGCCCTTCGTTACAGAAACAACTTGAGTTGGACTATTTTTGTTAGGAGGACCTAAAAACAGTGGCTCACCAGGGAGAGGTGGGGAGAAGGCAAGTAAAACACTTACCCCTCTTCCTTACGTCCTCCGTGCCTATAATGGACTGAAGAGTCCAAGGTAGGCCAAGAGTGAGTAAGCCCATGACATTCACTTTGAGTGGCAAAAATAGAAATTAAGCAACATGAGCAAGATATTTGTGTTAGTCTGGGTACATTAAAGAAACACATCCACAGAAACTCATAATATGTATAAGGGAGAGTTTTATATAAAGGGTAAGTGCACATCAAGAAAACATCCCAACCCAGTGCTGCCCAATCCCACAAGTCCAACATTAACCCATAAGTCCGACCAATCCACAAAGTCCTCCTCCATCTCACAAAACACAGGCAATGATGCCGACTGCAGGAGGAAAGCCGAGTCAGTGAA